AAGGGAGAGTAAAGAGGCCGGAAAGTGGGGAAATAAAGGGAAAAAATTTTTTTGAAAATGACGAAGAAAATGATTCAATTCACTCCCTTCCGGTTTTAAAGGGGCCACAAAAATTTGGGGCTTTGTTTACCTTTTTCTGGGGAAATATTTTGTTTCTTCTGGGAAAAATAAAAAGTTTCTCTGGGAAAGTTTTTGTTGTTGTTCCCTTTTTGGGGGAAAATATATGTTTGTTCTTTCTAGGGGGGGAAAAATATGTTTTGTTCCCTTTTGGAGAAAATATTTCGTTTTTTTCGGGGAAAAAATTTGTTTTGGGGAAATATATGTTGTTCTTCCTGGGAAAATGTATGTTTTCCTTTTGCGAATAAAATATATTGTTCTTTCCCGGGGGAAAACTTTTTTGTTCTTCTGGGAAAAAAATAAAAAATCCGTTCTAAGGGAAATACTTTTTTTTTGGGGGTAAAATCTTTGCTTCTGGGGAAAAATATTTTTTCTCTGGGAAGGGATAAGGGTGCTATTTCTCTCCTCTTTTGACTTTTAATGAACCAGTCAAGAAGCTTGGTCCCCACCGCTTTAGTGGGTTCAATAGGGGCTCATTTTTCCCATAATTGCATATAATGCCCCTTTGCACTGCAAACTCATTATTTTAACTACAAATCTTAATGAAATTACAAAAAAATAAAAATTTATTGTTTGTATCGTATAAGACCGCAGGTTTTACTGAAGCAGCCGTGTGGGGGGACTCCCCACAGACTCCTCCATAGATCAGCTCCTCCCAAAGAGCATAAACACTCCCATGGACAAACCCACAGGAAAAACGCCAACACAATGCTCTCCAACGCTTCAGGAAAAGGGCTAAGTTCGTCTCCTGGCGGTGAAGGGACCACACTCAGGAGATTCCTTTTAGGTTTCCCCAAATTTCCCCCTTGGGCACTCGACCGACCCACAGGGCCCTTGGATTGGGGTTGCTCTTCCCCCGCCCGCCCCCATCCCCACTGAACATAGGTTATTTCGGCAGGGCGACAGCTAATCAATTTCGGACTTCATGTCCGTGTGTCACACACAAAGGGGAAATATGCCCGACATGAGGGTGTCAACGACATCATCAAGAGAAGCTCGCCCAGCCCGTTGCCCAACGGGGGCCCCAATACAAGGTCTGGGGAAATCAAAAAACATCCCGAGGAGTCACATCTACCCTGGAAGAAGGTAAGTAGATTACCTTGGTACTACACCTGTGCCCCCACTTTTCAGACACCTATTGCCCTACACTAAAGCTGAATGGGGGAGCTGCCAGCTAAGGGGGGGAAACCCCGAAGGCCCGGTCACAGACCCAGCCGCGGGGCTCTGACCCCCCAAAAACCCCCTCCCGGGATTATCAAGGTCATTCCTTGAGACACAGCGGAGTGTGGTGCCCACAATTGGTTTAAAACCCCTTTAAAAATAAGGGAGTGAGGGTATTCCTACGAGAATATATTAAGGGCAAAGGGGACACAGCAACAAGGGGTAAACACCAAGGGGGCACGCAACAAAGGGGGCACATCAACAAGGGACACGCAAAAGAGGACCAACAACAATGGGGCACGACAACAATGTACAAAAAACAATGGACACAAAAACAAAGGGAACAACAAAAAATGGGACAAACAACAAGGGGGCCGAGCACAAGGAGAACAAACCCAAGGGGGCACAAACAAAAAGGGGGAAAAGCAACAAGGGGCACAACAACAATGGGACACAGCAACAATGGGACACTAACAAGGGACACGCAACAAGGGGGCACAGCAACAAGGGGACACAAAAACAATGGGACACAGCAACAAGGGACACAACAACACTGTACACAAAACAAGGGGCACAGCAAAAGGGGACACAGCAACAAGGGGGCACAACAACAATGGGACACAGAACAAGGGGGCACAGCAACAAGGGGGCACACAACAAGGAAAAGCAACAAGGGGACACAACAAAATGGGACCACAACAAGGGGGACAAAACAATGGGGCACAGTAACAAGGGACACAGAACAAGGGGGGCCACAACAAGAGGACACAACAACAATGGGGCACAGCAACAAGGGGGTACCGGATTTCCGGAGGAGTTCCGGGGGCAACGCCCCCCGGCCCGGGCTGGCCCGGCCTCCTGGGGGATCAAGCCTGATCAAACCCGGCTGTTGCTGCTGGGGCCGCAAAAAAAACATCAGCCACGCCCCGGGTGATCCGGAACTGACTTTAGGTGCTTGTCCGTGCCGCTTGAAAACTGCCAGGGGGCTGTTTGGGAAACCCCCCTTTTGTGTGCAGGGGGCCGTTGAACAGTCCCCCGGGGCCCCTGACACTTATTGTATGGGTTTTAACGGCTATGACACCCCCGCTTTTCATTGGGGGGGTGGTGCATCGTCTGCCAAATCTTTTGCTTTCGTAATGATGATTTTCGTTGCAAGTTCGGTATAGTCCCCTAGGATTTTCCAGGGGTTATAATCATTTTTCCCCCGGTTCCGGGGAATACAGGTTTTGGAACCCCAAGCGCTCCCAAAAATTGAGGTGTTTTATCTCCCCTTATGCGCGCCGTGAAGTTCTCTGTACATTTTTTCCCGGGCGGCAATTTCACCTGCCTTGAAAGGTTGTTTGTGCAGCAAAATTCCCGCCTATAGAACAAGTGACCTGAAGAATGTCATATGGGCTTGGCCCCCCCTAGTTTTGAAGGTTTTCCATTATCCCTCCTGTGACACTGTGACCAACAACAAGGGGGCCAACAGTGGACACAGAACAATGGGACACAGCAACAAGGGCACAGCAACAAGGGGGCACAAACAGAGGGGACACAACAACAAAGGGGGCACAAAAACAAGGGGACACAACAACAATGGGGCCAAACAAAAAAAGGGACCACAACAAGGGGACACAACAAAAGGGGACACAACAAAAGGGGACGCAGCAAAAAGGGGGCACAACAAAAATGGACCCCAACAACAATGGGAACAGTAAAAAAAAGACACAACAACAAGGGGACACAACAAAAAAATGGGGCACAGTAACAAAAAGACACAACAACAAGGGGGCACAACAAAAAGGGGCCCACAACAACGGGCCAGGAGCTTGGATCGACCCCCGCAACCTCAACTAGGGGATACAAGGGGGCACAACAACAAAGGGACACAAAAACAAAGGGGACACAGCAAAAGGGGACACAGCAAAAATGTGACACAACAACATGGGGGTACAGCAAAAATGGGGCACAACAACAAGGGGACACAGAAAATATGGGATACAACAACAAGGGGACCGCACAAGGGGACACAACAACAGTGGGACACAAAAAGGGGGCACAATAAAAAATGGGACACAAAAAGGGACACAGCAACAAGGGGGACAGCAACAAGGGTACCAGAAACAAGGGAACAGCAATAAGGGGACACAGCAACAAGGGGGCACAAAAAGGAAGTGAAGACTCAGATGAATCACAGGGATTTAGGGAAATGTTTCTTCAGCAACAGATTGTAGGAATTAAAAAATTTTGGGAAATGATGTTGGTGCAGGAACCATACAAGCTTTAGAACAGGTATATAAAGTCAGGAGCAGGGAAAAGAGGGACCTAGTAACGGGGAGTGAAGAGCGGGGGCCCGGGGGTGGACCGCCCTGGGTTATCCTAGGTTTTCTAACAATGCTGTTATGTATGATAATTATATGTAACTGTATTGTGTATACCTGAATAAATTTACTTACTTACTAATGCACAAAAATATACTTTTGCCTGAGTCAACAAAAACAGACTTTTTGTTCGCATTATTTCTTAGTGAAATTTAGGGAAAACATTTTCTGAAACTAATACACAAGTAATTTAATTTATTTTTCTTAAATTTCCGTAAATATGTATTAAAAAATAAATATAGTAAATAGAAAGTCCCAGGTTTTATACACCATAGCTGATATCACTATCAATTATATACTTTATAGAAAGTCCCTGATTATACTTGGAGTTTACCTGGAGAGAGTTTTGGGGGTCAACGCCCCCGCGGCCCGGTCTGTGACCAGGCCTCCTGGTGGATCAGCGCCTGATCAACCAGGCTGTTGCTGCTGGCTGCACGCAAACCAACGTACGAGCCACAGCCCGGCTGATCAGGAACTGACTTTAGGTGCTTGTCCAGTGCCAGCTTGAAGACTGCCAGGGGTCTGTTGGTAATCCCCCTTATGTGTGCTGGGAGGCAGTTGAACAGTCTCGGGCCCCTGACACTTATTGTATGGTCTCTTAACGTGCTAGTGACACCCCTGCTTTTCATTGGGGGGATGGTGCATCGTCTGCCAAGTCTTTTGCTTTCGTAGTGAGTGATTTTCGTGTGCAAGTTCGGTACTAGTCCCTCTAGGATTTTCCAGGTGTATATAATCATGTATCTCTCCCTCCTGCGTTCCAGGGAATACAGGTTTAGAAACCTCAAGCGCTCCCAGTAATTGAGGTGTTTTATCTCCGTTATGCGCGCCGTGAAAGTTCTCTGTACATTTTCTAGGTCGGCAATTTCACCTGCCTTGAAAGGTGCTGTTAGAGTGCAGCAATATTCCAGCCTAGATAGAACAAGTGACCTGAAGAGTGTCATCATGGGCTTGGCCTCCCTATAAAGACCATAGCTGACATTAATTTATTAATTTATTTATTTATTTATTTATTTATTTATTTATTTGGACATGATACAGAGAAGTACAAGGAATAAAATTTTTAAAGTGCAGCTTGCCAAAGCCCCTTGTATGGAGAGCATTATGGGCAGGCTTAAAATGATATACTATATACACAATAGGGAGGTTAGTATGGGCCGCTACTGGAGCCATAAAGGCTAGTTTGGCCTGCTAGGAGTTTCAGTCCAATACAGAGAAGGGTAGATGATCAGAAAGAGTTTGAGGGGGTCAGTCCCTCAATGACTCCAGACTGTGCGACTGATTATCTGTTTTAGGTTACTGAGGTGACTGTACTGACCTCTGTGACATTTTAGAAGAGAATAAAAGTATATTTTAACTCACCTGGGTGTTGGTAAGGTGCAGGTCAGTCTGCAGGTCAGTAATGGCTGACATTCTGACCCTGCAGGGTAGTGGCAGGTCAAAAACACCGTAATGGAACACCTGAAACACATTACAGTATAATATCAACGCAACACCAACAGCAGCAACACAACAGCAGTAAGACTGGTTGGTTAATGGGGTTTCAAGCCTATCTGCTACACCATGGTCATCATTTAAGAATACTTTAATACCTAAAATGTATATACACTGAAATATACACCTCTCAGTTATATATATATATACTGAGATATACACCTCCCAGTGTATATACACCGAGATATACAACTCCCAGTGTATATACACCTCTCAGTGTATATACACTGAGATATACACCTCTCAGTGTATATACACTGAGATATACACCTCCCAGTGTATATACACTGAGATATACACCTCTCAGTGTGTATACACTGAGATATACACCTCTCAGCGTATATACACTGAAATATACACCTCTCAGTGTATATACACTGAGTTATACACCTCTCAGTGTATATACACTGAGATATACACCTCTCAGTGTATATACACTGAGATATACACCTCCCAGTGTATATACCTGGAGTTTACCTGGAGAGAGTTCCGGGGGTCAACGCCCCCGCGGCCCGGTCTGAGACCAGGCCTCCTGGTGGATCAGAGCCTGATCAACCAGGCTGTTGCTGCTGGCTGCACGCAAACCAACATACGAGCTATAGCCGGCTGATCCGGAACTGACTTTAGGTGCTTGTCCAGTGCCAGCTTGAAGACTGCCAGGGGTCTGTTGGTAATCCCCCTTATGTGTGCTGGGAGGCAGTTGAACAGTCTCGGGCCCCTGACACTTATTGTATGGTCTCTTAACGTGCTAGTGACACCCCTGCTTTTCACTGGGGGGATGGTGCATCGTCTGCCAAGTCTTTTGCTTTCGTAATGAGTGATTTTCGTGTGCAAGTTCGGTACTAGTCCCTCTAGGATTTTCCAGGTGTATATAATCATGTATCTCTCCCTCCTGCGTTCCAGGGAATACAGGTTTAGGAACCTCAAGCGCTCCCAATAATTGAGGTGTTTTATCTCCGTTATGCGCGCCGTGAAAGTTCTCTGTACATTTTCTAGGTCGGCAATTTCACCTGCCTTGAAAGGTGCTGTAAGTGTGCAGCAATATTCCAGCCTAGATAGAACAAGTGACCTGAAGAGTGTCATCATGGGCTTGGCCTCCCTAGTTTTGAAGGTTCTCATTATCCATCCTGTCATTTTTCTAGCAGATGCGATTGATACAATGTTATGGTCCTTGAGGTGAGATCCTCCGACATGATCACTCCCAGGTCTTTGACGTTGGTGTTTCGCTCTATTTTGTGGCCAGAATTTGTTTTGTACTCTGATGACGATTTAATTTCCTCATGTTTACCATATCTGAGTAATTGAAATTTCTCATCGTTGAACTTCATATTGTTTTCTGCAGCCCACTGAAAGATTTGGTTGATGTCTGCCTGGAGCTTTGCAGTGTCTGCAATGGAAGACACTGTCATGCAGATTCGGGTGTCATCTGCAAAGGAAGACACGGTGCTGTGGCTGACATCCTTGTCTGTGTCGGATATAAGGATGAGGAACAAGATGGGAGCGAGTACTGTGCCTTGTGGAACAGAGCTTTTCACCGTAGCTGCCTCGGACTTTACTCTGTTGACGACTACTTTCTGTGTTCTGTTAGTGAGGAAATTATAGATCCATCGACCGACTTTTCCTGTTATTCCTTTAGCACGCATTTTGTGCGCTATTACGCCATGGTCACACTTGTCGAAGGCTTTTGCAAAGTCTGTATATATTACATCTGCATTCTTTTTGTCTTCTAGTGCATTTAGGACCTTGTCGTAGTGGTCCAATAGTTGAGACAGACAGGAGCGACCTGTTCTAAACCCATGTTTCCTGGGTTGTGTAACTGATGGGTTTCTAGATGCGTGGTGATCTTGCTTCTTAGGACCCTTTCAAAGATTTTTATGATATGGGATGTTAGTGCTATTGGTCTGTAGTTCTTTGCTGTTGCTTTACTGCCCCTTTGTGGAGTGGGGCTATGTCTGTTGTTTTTAGTAACTGTGGGACGACCCCGTGTCCATGCTCCCTCTCCATAGGATGGAAAAGGCTCGTGATAGGGGCTTCTTGCAGTTCTTGATGAACACAGAGTTCCATGAGTCTGGCCCTGGGGCAGAGTGCATGGGCATGTCATTTATCGCCTGTTCGAAGTCATTTGGCGTCAGGATAACATCGGATAGGCTTGTGTTAATCAAATTTTGTGGCTCTCTCATAAAAAATTCATTTTGATCTTCGACTCTCAGTCTGGTTAGCGGCTTGCTAAAAACTGAGTCATATTGGGACTTGAGTAGCTCACTCATTTCCTTGCTGTCATCTTTTGTAGGACCCATCTTGTTTAAGTAGGGGCCCAATACTGGACGTTGTTCTCGATTTTGATTTGGCATAGGAGAAGAAATACTTTGGGTTTCTTTCGATTTCATTTATGGCTTTTAGTTCTTCCCGCGATTCCTGACTCCTAAAGGATTCTTTTAGCTTAATTTTCGATGCTTGCTATTTCTCTGACCAGTGTCTCCTGCGCATTTCAGATATATTGACCTCTTTTAGCGCTCTGTTATTCTTTTCCGTCGCCTGTAAAGGGAGCGCCTGTCTCTTTCTATTTTACATCTACTCCTCCTTTTTCTTAGAGGAATAAGCCTTGTGCATAACATCGAGTGCCACCGAGGGTTAATCTGTTCTAGGCATAAGTTTGGGTCTGTGTTGCTTAGTATATCATCCCAGCTTATATCGGTTAGGACTTGGTTTACTTGGTCCCACTTTATGTTTTTGTTATTGAAGTTGAATTTGGTGATTGCTCCCTCGTGACTAGTCTCATTTTGTCGGTCTGGGGCTCCACGCATACATGTCTGAACCTCAATTATGTTGTGATCTGAGTATATTGTTTTTGATATGGTGACATTTTTTATCAGATCATCATTGTTAGTGAATATGAGGTCTAGTGTATTCTCCAGTCTAGTAGGCTCTATTATTTTGCTGGTTTAAATTGAATTTTGTGCAGAGATTTAAAAGCTCGTGTGAGTGTGAGTTTTCATCAGAGCTGCCTCCTGGTGTTATTACTGCAACATATTATTTGCTATATTCCTCCATTTTAGGTGCCTTAAGTTGAAATCCCCAGGAGCAAGATGTTGGGTGCAGGAGCTGGAAGATTTTCCAGACAGTGGTCAATTTTTAACAGCTGTTCCTGGAATTGCTGGGAAGTTGCATCCGGAGGCTTGTAGACTACCACAATGACTAGGTTTTGGTTCTCGACCTTTACTGCTAAAAAATTCCACTACGTCATTTGAGGCATTAAGCAGTTCTGTGCAAACAAGTGACTCTGCAATGTACAGGCCAACCCCCCCCTTTTGCCTGTTCACTCTGTCACATCTGTATAGGTTGTAACCTGGGATCCATATTTCATTCTCCAAGTGATCCTTTATGTGGGTCCCCAGTGAAAGCCGCGAAAAATTGCCTTTGCCTCTGCAAGCAGTCCAGGATGAAAGGTATTTTGTTGTTTGTTGCTGGCTTTAGGGCCCCGTATATTTGCAAAGAAGAATGTTATCGGACTGGTGGTTATTGTTGGTACTGGGGGGGGGATTTTTTTTCCGGCATTAGTATCTGTATCTGTTGGTTTGGAGTGGAGGCCCTCGACTGTGGTTCCACTCCAGGAATGACTGGATTTGGTGTACGATTTCTGCCATTTCCTGCCAGTTTTTTTTTCCTTCCTGGCACTAAAAAAAACCTCTCCCTCTTGAGTGGCTGTGGCTACCCAGGTTTTCCCATGGCCTGGATGTTTTGTATCTTTTTGTCCCCTTTAGATGGTATGCCTGGCAATTTAAGTTATAGCACAGTCTTTCCTGTACTGAAGAGGTACACATTTCAGGGTGAAAAAGCTTACAGGAAGGGAGTTTGCATTTTCCTGTTGTCATATGGACATGACATTTTCTAGGGTGGTCATAGTTGCATGTCCCATCTGTTTTTCCAGATTTCCCATGCCAGCAGATACCAAGTGCATAGTATGTGCACAGGCTTGGTTTCCGTTTGCCTTGGGTTTCTGTGACTGTATTCCCTGTTGGTGCATGTTTCCCTGTCTTATTCCTATCCTCCCTAGCACCAACAATGGAGCTCCCACCAGTTGTTTTTGGTAATTTATCCTCACTATTGCTATTGGAGTCCTCTTGTTTGCTATTTCCTGCGGTATTTCTAGTTTGCAATATTGGTTTTATCTTATCTTTGACTACACTTGTTTCCCTACTATGGCTCCTGTCCTCTATGAGGTCATTTATATGTATTCCTTCCTGCGTATAATTCCCGACTACCTGGACAAAATCTCCAGCTTCACCATTACTGTCTCCCAGGACAGTATCTCCAGCTTCACCATTTCTGTCTCCCAGGACAGCACCTCCAGCTTCACCATTACTGTCTCCCAGGACAGCACTATCAGCCCCACATTTACTGACTACCAGGACATCACCTCCAGCCTTACAGTTTGTGACTACATGGCCAGTATCAAGGGCAGTACCATTCAGCCCAGACTTTTTATGTTCCCATCTGTTGTAGAAAGCTTCCAGGTTTTCTATGAAAGCAGCTTTGATGTTGTCCTCTTTTAATACCCTGAGATACACTGAGATATACACCTCTCAGTGTATATACACCGAGATATACACCTCTCAATGTATATACACCGAGATATACACTTCTCAGTGATATATACATTGAGATATACATCTCTCAATTATATAATATATATATATATAATATATATATATATATATATATTATATATATATATATATATATATATATATATATATACATATATATATATATATATATATATATATATATATATATATATATATATATATATATATATATATATATATATATATATTTTATATATACTGAGATATACACATGTATGCAGTATTTCCTATAGACAGTTACCTTCAACACACTATCTATCGAGACTACGGAAAGAACTTCCACCCATCTATTTATACAAACTGTGTATGTGAGTGTGT